CTATGCACAGGGCTCTATGCACAGGGCTCTATGCACAGGGCTCTTTGCACAGGACCACACACCTCCACGGTATGGTATGATAAACTGAGAAGCAAGCACCATTCTCAAGGGCAGCTCAAGAAATGTAATCATTTAGTGTTCTGCACATGTCATCGGTTCCCATTTGCGCAGATCGATGCTCATGTTGTTGATCACTGGATTGTCTGGTCCTGGCCCGTTTCACAAAGCCCTCTTACCGGTACGACCTCGTAAAGCAGGTCGTAGACCACCTCTTACTTTTTTACCCTGTTTCACAAAGACCTCGTATATTTACACTGTGCCGTAAACAGCCCAAAATTTAGGACCCCGATTGACCTGTCGTAAATGCTTTAGGAGGTCGTAAATACTACAAAGATGGCGTCAACGATTATGGCACTGAAAGTGATTAAAACACGGAAACAAAGAAGACCTGAGAAATTTTGAGACAGGTCGAACGTGCTCGACGCTCATGTTGTCTTCTAACTGTGCAGAAAGTTAGAGCCCCAACAGAACAAACCTACAAGGCGTTCACATGCTATTCCGACCTCCCTGCAAGTGATGTGTACACAGAGGTATTTGGCAAAAGGGGTTTTCCTCAGTGAAATCGGGGATCTCCATGGAGTATCCCGAGCTAGTGGGTCAAGAATACTCCGCGACACCGCTAGTGCTCTGGTCGTGTATCTGGACTTGACTAAAAACCCCTGGGTGCCACAGGGACATATGTCCTTCCTCTTCAACCCTCACTTTGAAGTCCAATAAAATTCTAAATATATCACGCACACAAATATACTTCGCAGTGTTGTATTCTGCGGGAAATTCCCTGTTTCTTGATACCATCCACTAAAATCTCAGACAAAGCTAAAGTGCTTAAATAACCTTTCAAAATAGGCTTCATCGTAAATGTCGCCATTTTATACACAATACGAAATCACGATTCACAGCATTATTTGCTCTACAGTGTAGACAGTATGTTTTCAAATGTGAAAATCGGATAATTACTGGGAGTACTGAATTTCAAAAATAACATATTAATGATAACTGAAATCAGTTTTTCATGATATCACTAATGATAATCTGAAACGCTGCCGATGAACCTAGAATCGGTTTGGATGTTTTCGAAAATATATTTACACGAACGCCGAAGTGCGCTTTCCGCCATATTGGATAGTGTTTACAAAACCACGTCTCGCAAAGGCCGGTATTGAGTTGCCTATCACATCACGTATATTTCATAGTCAGCTGAGACAAATGCATCAATGAATTCCCCATACATTTTAAAATCAAATCACAGTTGGTCTTTGTTACCAATACCAACTGGATATTGGGTGTGAAAACAAACGCTGTGCTCGGAAGACAAACAAAGAAACATTCCGATTAATACTGCGTAGCAGCCGGCTATTCATTGCTTGCAATGGCTCAATACCTTTAAAATATGTATGGAAAGAGTATCGATCATAGCAAGAAAGAGGAAATTAAAAATAGATACAATGCAATGATTTGATATTTCATAAGCAATTGACAAAGTTTCCATGCAGCGTGACGCCATAACAGACCCAAAATCACGCAGAACGACAACGGTAATTATCAGCATTTCTGGCTTCTTCTCTTACTTACAAAGAAAACATATAACAATACACAGATAGTCAGAGTCACTCTGATAACTTACATTTCATATTTATGTACAAACGATCCCTGAATCAAGGGAAGAGTCCTCGCAAAATCATGTGTACCCTTGTCAGCGAAGCCGCCATTTTGTCCTATCCTTCTGATTACACTTTCAGTACTATGATGTATATTTTGCGTATCATTCAGATAAAAAATTTCATGAAACCAATTTCAGTTCCTACATTTGGCCTTGTTCAATATCATATCATACGTGGATATAGGGTACACCGTTATATTTTTTGAAAGTTTTCGATTGTTTGAATAAAAGTTACAAAAGAAACTGACACATTTAGAGTATCACACCATATTTTAACCCTTTACACAAGTGTTAGTAGATCAAGCGTAGCCATAACTGCAACATTGACATTAGGTCCTATTGTTTGCAATAGTCAATACATTGGGACTAATATTGCAGTTTCATATGAACAAGTTAATGGACAGCGATTTAATTCAAACCTTATAAGTAAAACTGATAATATTAATGGAAATTATTTATACATTTTATCTTGTAATTGTCAATGGAAAATCCAAAAAATTCATTTATTGATATTTTTTACGATAAGATTACCTGTACATTGAATTAAAAACATAACATTTGCATTGTTAGTAGTATAGTAGGTGGGAGCAGACGGTCCTTTTGGTGGAGGGAAGGTGGAGGGAAGGTAAGGACATGGATTGGCTGATGTAAGTCACGTGATCATAGCTGATAGGTAAATATAGACAGCACGTCACAGGTCAGGAAAGTTCAATGAAAGGTGTGGGTGTTTTAAGGCAGTCGTGCAGAAAACTCTTCATTAAGCGAGAGAAAAACAAAAGCAAAGTGTCCTGAATAGAGCTATGTATAGCATGCTGCCCTGAATAGACAGACAGACAGTACCCGTCAGCCAGTTTTGAATTGAGCGCGCTTGACAACTCACGTGACTCCGTCGTTTTAAATAGCCCGCGCTCGACAGAGCGTGCGACCTGTTTTGATGAATGCAGGGTGTGTGTGTTGAAAGTACATCGTATCACAATAGAGACGGGTTGTGTCAACATGGTTCGGAGACGGAATCTTCGAGTCATGTAAAATGTAGTTGAAAAACATTTCATACAGAACGTGTCCTGTATAAGTATAACACCATCAAAGTAATGGAAAGTTGGTGTAGGTTTATATGTTATTTCATACTAGTGTGTGTTTTTTTCCCATCCAAATATAGCTTGATGAGAAATAAATGATTTTGAGCCATGTACACTAATGGATACAGTTTTAGTTTTACTAGACAGCGAGATGTTTGAAATAAGAGGCTTGAACTACACATGGATGGAAGCATATCAATATCATATAGCACACGTATAATACCATGAAATTCACGTCATTTGGAGAGAGACGAAAGAAATAGAAATGTAGAGTCAAGGAATCTGCTTATTGAAACAATAGTATTTGGTGGAGGCAAGGTGGAGGGAAATGTATTGGCTGATCCAAGTCACGTGATCACCGTCAAATAGCCCGCGCTGGGCAAAGCGTTGGACTATTGTTCACCCTTTGTAAAGAAGGCGCTGAATTATTCAGCCCTGTGCCGACTTGAAGCCGATGTTTAAACGTTATTTCACGCGAGCTTTTTTTTCCTTCCCCCGGCAAATGTAAGCTTATGAAACAAATAAACTGTATTGTGTATATGAAACTATGTATCCAATTTTAGTTTTACTTCAGGACTAAATTTCAGGGCGTGTTGTTTAACGGTTTGAAATACATATGGATAACTATATATATCAATGTTAAATAGAACCCCCCCAAAAAAACAACAACAAAAACAACAACGAAAAAACAACAAAAACAACAAAAAACAACAACAACAACAACAAAAACAAAAACAAAAACAAACAAACAAAACAAACGATGAAACATGTAGCAGTGCGACAGCATGCAGCTAGGTTTGTTGGGAAAAAAGACAGAATTTGAAATGAGAAAATTTAGCGGTGAGCAACGTGTTTAACAATAATTACCCTTCATTCGAAGAGAGAACCTAGTTTAGGAATTTAGACGTTGGAAACATCATACAATATAATGATAAATACATTTTACTTCAACCTAAATTAAGGATTATGCTCGGAAAATATAAGTGTAGGTGTTTGAAAAGTAACGAATCAGGTTAGACTTGTAGATGGCATCACATTCCAAGTAACGTAATCAGACTGAAAACCATAGTTCACGAAGTATACTCAGTACTCAAGGAGGACGACATGCATGACTGAACAGTCAATGCAACAGGCAGGTGTGTGTACCATTCGGTGTGTGAACTGAGGGCTGTGAAGGAAAAGGTTCAATGTCTTTTCCCGTGTGAGCATACATGGGTGGTCCCTATCCCAACCTGTCAGTCATATCTACAGTGAGATACACAGGCGCGTTGAATGGATAGTTACTATTTGTCCATCATTATTCGTAAAATATCCTATATAGACATCATCTGCACACCAGAGCGTTATTTTAGTTTCAACAACGAGCGAGAATTCATCAACTTTTACGTGACCAGTCTGAACATGGACTCAACAAACGCGTAAGTATACTTCTTAATGAGGTCTCACTATTTAATTTTTATAAATGTGAATGCTACAGCTAACAAATGTTTTGATTTCAATAAAAGGGTATATGTTAGTATAGTAATTATGAGTTTCATGACCAAGTTTATGAAATCCTGTAGAAACATTTTTTGTATCTCTAGCGTGAATTGAAAGAAACGTTATGTCTTTCAGACAATTTACCTGTCCACAGTGCGGGAAAGGTTTTAATAAAAAAGATAACCTTTGCCGCCATGTGCGATCAGTTCACCGGGGAGAACGTTACGTGTGCTTTCCATGCACAAAATCTTTTGCTTCAAATCAAAAACTGAAGCAACACAAATGTGCCTTGTCGCAACAACGGCTATCGGAATATCGATGTAGCGTGAGTAGTGTTTATTATTTATGTGTAAGTTCTCGCTTCTGTCTGCTATAATATCTTCAGATATATTTGATCATATGTAGAGATATTATCTTCCTATGTCTTTAACCGACTGTTTCATAAGGTGTATATTTTAAAGACCTGAGCAATGTTGTCTACAGTTTCAAATGTTACTTTGACATAGTATCGCAGTGGTTATCAACAGTAAAGTTAAATGTTACAGCGACATAGCGACAAACTTCCCCTATAATTCAGAGCATTTTGCTTAAAAATGTTACTTCTATATACAGAAATGCCCCGAGGTGTTCCCTTCACCCCGTGAGCTGGGCGTGCATTTTCGGCGCGTTCATTCTTCCGGTGAGTTGATGTTCATCTCCGTCATTAATCTTGTCTATGTACTGCTTCCGTGTATTTTCGAGTGTGTTTTAGTTTAGTATGTACAGATAATGATGTATATTTACAGGCACAACTACGCAAACAGATGTTCACGCACGCCCGTCTACCTCGAGAGGAGTGCCGGTTAGTGGGGGTAATCTCTCTGTCACTTCATTCATCCATGTACGATGGTTAGTATTACCGAGGTTCGTACCGCATAGGGTTTCAATGTATGTGTGTGTGTGCGTGTGCGTGTGTATATGTGTGCGCGTGCGTGCGTGCGTGCGTGTGTGTGTGTGTGTGTGAGTGAGTGAGTGAGTGAGTGAGTGAGTGAGATGTGTTTGTAGATAGCACCGGCCGGGAATGTTTTCAATATATTGTTTTTGTATTTCAGGGACAAGCCAGCCGACACCGTCCACCTCCTCTGGTCAGGCTGCAAGGGCGGGAAACTCTCGTGGCAGTGGAGGTAGATGTTGAATAGTATTTTATATGCTAAGGGTTTTAGGTAGCCCTGAATTATGTATTAATTCAGTTCGTCATAGTGTTAATATGTATTCGCTTTGGAAGTATCACAGAATGTGTTTATATGTATTCGCTTTGGAAGTATTATACCATGTGTTAGTCATGAGTTTTATTTGAAGCATAAGAGCTCGTAGTGAGTGAATGATGCTGTTATATGAGACTTAGTATTCATACATTGAATTTTTTCTCTGTCACCAGCTCCCTCGTCTTCCCGCATCGCAGCATCGGATGGTTGTACTTGCCGGACGTGTCATAGGCGTTTCGAGGATCGGTTGTCTCTCTACCGTCATCAGATGATAGAGGGACACCGTATCCTACCATCGCAGTCCGGCGGGAGTATGGATACCGATGCTGCTGTTAGTGAGCTCCAACCACGCCCATGGGGAGAAGGTCCCGCCCCGTGGGTAGACGACAGCACTGGAGAGGTGACGGAGCCCCGGACTCCAGGAAGCCTATGACCTGGACGCTCCGTTTATCCTCGCACGGGGGCAACCCGGCGAAGTGTTTTCAATCTACAACCTCCCCCTTAACAACAACTTTTCCACAGGTGAGTTGATGGAACGCGCTAGGGATATCTATCAATCGTTAAATCATAGTTTTAGGATGAATTTAGCGTTCGGTGTCATCCTACGGCACGTGGAGACGGGACGCTATCGCTATTTCCATCCTTACACTGTCGATCCTCTCTTTACTAGTCCTCTCTAGATCACCGAGTTGGAGGATCTCGAACGGGTTACGCCAGAGACTGGAAAGCTTAGATGTCATGTCTTTACTCCTCAAACAACGCCCCGATACCAAATGGAAACCTGTTTTGATTACCAATGTGAATTTCTTTATTTACAGAACAAATTTTCCGCTCGGCCACTCTCCAGCCCCTCTCCCCGAATATATTAAAAATCATAAAGCTATCCTTTCTTTAGATTATAACAAGAAGACTATACAACTTTATAAAGATCACTTATGCGCTTTCCGGTGTTTGGCATTGCATCGAGATCCTACAAGTCGGGGTGCTTTAGAAAAGCCTACCAAAGCTCTTTACTATCAGTGGGTCGTGTACTGTCGGGACCATCATCTCCAGTCTTTCTATAAGATTGGTCCCGAAGAGTATAAAGGTCTCGACCCAGCTCTCTTACCTCACTTTGAAGCCTGTTTCCGTGTGAATGTGAGCGTGTTCACTCTTGACGTAACAGGGATAGCTCAACCCGTGTATAAATCTCGAGGGTTGTATCAGGAACACATGCATTTAAATGCATGACTTTGCGGTTCCCGGGTGGTTTCCACCACACTCCAAAGACCGTGTCTGATGAGCTGGAAGAGTTCGACTTGTCGTCGAGCCTAGAGACAGATATTTTCCGTGGTTCATGGTATTCGATTTTGAGTGTTTTTTTAAACCGATTAATACCGAAACCCAGAAACTGAGATGGACACAAGAACACCACCCCATCTCAGTCAGCGTGTGTTCCAATGTGGAAGGGTTTACTTCACCACACTGCATCGTCGATTCCGATCCGGATCGATTGATTGCTGCCATGTTGGCATACATGACGGAAATAGGCAAAGCCGTTAACAAGCTAGCCAAAGAAAAATATAAAGAGGTGTTAGAAAGCTTGCGCGAGTGGATAAAGTCGTTGCCTGTGGAGGACCAGACGACTGTTGACGATTATGATGATGATAATGATGATGTCAACGTCAGGGAGGGTGACAACCACCCCGCCCATGGCAAACCTACTCGCGCACACTCTACACCCGAGGCTAAGTGGGGAAAGCATGTGAGCGATCTCTGCGGGAAGCTTCTGGGGTACTGTTCTCAAGTCCCCATCTTCAGATTTAATTCAGCTTGTTACGACCTGAATACCATTAAGGAGAAACTACCCAAACATCTCTCTCGAGACGACAAGGAATCTCAGGCTTTCACCGTGAAGAAAAACAATGCTTACTTGTGTCAAAGTAATCAAAGTTTCAAATTTCTTGACGTCAGGCAATATCTTTCTTCCGGAACGAGTTATGCTCAGTTTCTGAAAGCATTCGGAGTGCAAGAGAAAAAGGGATTTTTCCCGTATGAGTATCTCAACACTCCGGAAAAGCTAAACGAGACTCGGCTTCCCCCTCTGGGCGAGGCATGGTATTCCAGTCTCAAACAGAAGTCCTTCCTCGACGATGGTGTGAAATCCGAGGTCGACAACCACCTTTTTCTCAAAAGAAAGGATGGAAGCAGGTCTCGGAACGGGACATGTTGAACGCTGTGGAAAAAGGGGAACTGTTCGGTATGGTGGAAGTGGACATTCGCGTCCCCGATCACTGGATGCCCGGACAGAACCCTCACGGCACTCGTCTCTCCCCGTGGGAGTACTTTCAAGAGATGACTCCCCTGTTCTGCAATGCAGAAGTTCCTTTCGAGGTTCTCGGGGAACACATGCAGGAGTACATCAGGGAGAACGACTTGACTACAAAACCGTGCCGTATGCTCATTGGCGGGTTAAAGGCGGGGAAAATCCTGATCGCCACCCCTCTGTTGCAATGGTATTTACAGCACGGCATGGTGGTCGATCGCATGTACCAAGTCGTTGAGTACACCCCGAACGCGTGTTTTTAGCAGTTTGTTCGGGACGTGTGCTCAGCCCGACGAGAAGCCAACCGAGATCCCTCAGCACCCAGTCGGCTAAACTTACGGGCAACTCCGTTATTTCGAGGTAGAGAAAGCCAAGAAAGTCTTACACCTCGATACGCACGTGCAGCTGGGGTATTTTATCCTGCAGTACGCTTAACTGCGCATGCTTCAATTTTACTACGATTGCATGGACGTGTACGTGGATCGTAGTGATTTTGAATACATGGAGATGGACACGGTCAACGCTTACATGGCTTTGAGCGCGAAATGTCTGTCCGATGTCATTAAACCCGGCAAACAGTTGGCGTACCAGGACCAGTTGAAGAGGGTCTTCGGTGACAATAACCCGGACGATAGCTACCTCACGCGTTGGTTTCCACACAGTTGCTGTTCTGTCCACACCCTTCACGAGACGTACTCCGGGTTTATTCAAACTCGAGTACGAAGGAGACGAGATGATCGGACTGTGTAGTAAAACGTACTTGGTGTCACAGTCCAGTCTTCAGCAAACTCCAAAGCCAGCGCCGAGCTCGGGCGTACGTACGGCACAACGTTTACTACGCCGAGCTCACCACCGGCTCGGTCGCATCAAGCCCGTCAATAACAAGGCCCGATGCCTCCGTTCAACCACCCCTATCGTCGGTCATTTCGAACGCCGGGTAAAATTCTGCTGTAAAGGCATCTCAAAACGAACATTGAAAACACCACTAAGAGTGTTTAGAGATGTTTTACATACCCGAGTACCCGGCGAGGGGTTGAACAGAGGTTTCCGACTCAAGGGGAATATCATGTGTTCCTATCATCAGAAACGTCAGGGGTTGAGTTATCTCTACTGTAAACGTCGAGTGTTGAACGACGGCATTCACACGGCACCTCTCGACCTCGAGCTTTGTCCCTGGCCTGCCCGCGATGGTAGGTTGGATGACACCGACACCTTTTTGGCCCAACTTTTAGAAAATTTAGCTGAAAATTAAGAAAAGGTCATCCCTCTTGCATTCCCTTAACTCCAGTAGTGTACATATTGTAGTTATTTATTTATTTATTTATTATTAGAAGCATATTGTGTTAAACATATCAAGTATTTCTATCAAAAGTATTCTCTTTACCAGCTGTGATATTTTGGTTTCTCAAACCATTTTCCTATAATATTATTATAAATCAAATTAATGTTTGTCAAATGTATATACGTGAATAAATCTATGTTATTCTGGAAAGTGTTTGTTGTTTTGTCTTATGATATGTATGTCTACTTTCTAGAAGTCGTGTATGAAAAAATAATAATACAGCAATTTACATTCAAGCCATATCCACTGGAACGGAATATACCGTCTATGATTCCAGTATAGAGTACACTGTGAGAAAATAAGACTAGTTCCCTTTGGTGTAGGTGAAACGAGGCTATGACTAAGTTTCATGGGAGCCATTCTGTACCAAGACTCGAGAGCGATGCTTTGTGCTATTATGTTTATTGTTAGTGAATTGGGGTGTAGGCAGGATGCTTATTGTAGGCGCCATGGGGGACAAACCCTTTAAGAGCGACCTCAGCGTACTGCGACTCTGCATACAGCAGAGCATTCACACAAACTACCATTCTATCTATTCAGTGTTTATTACTTTAACAGCTTGTTATGATGATACATATTCAGACAATATAGTCATTTTAATACATTCCAGTGGCAACATGAGACAAACTTTATATCCATTCACGTTTGAAACTAACAACTTGTAATCACATGAGAGATTCAATACTATTTTAATAAGCAGTTTCCAATGGTTTGAACTTCTTCGCACCGGGAACACCGTGCTTCACTTTGCCACGCACGTACATGGGCTGAGTTCGTTTTCTCTTGCCTTTTCCCACCTGAGTGTAAAAAGCTTGCGAGTTGGTTAGTTGTGTCAGTTGACGGGTAAAGGCTTGATATCCAACATCTTTTCTATCACCACTCTTTAGCACAAACTGTCGAATGCAGTCAATCACATTAGAATGTTTTATAGGGTCTCCATGTTCATCCAACCATTCGAGTTTAGCATTCCAGTTAATGCGACCGAGCTCTTTCTGCTGGTTGAGATACTGCCATAGCGACACATAGCGTGGTGTTAGGACATCGTCTAGGGGGTGGCTTGCTGTTGCATTTCCTCCTCCTGTTAGCTGGTTGTGTAGTGAGGCTATGATATTGTGGATGGACGTGTCACGCTCCATGTCTGATTCCTCAGCTGTAGTGTTGACTACTGGAGTCTGCTCCTGCTGGGGGATAGGAGCTGGTGGGGGTTTCAGGATCGGATGGGAGCCGCTTTCCATCTTCGGAGCAGCTTGAACCAGACGTTGGTAGGTCTCACGAGATAACAGAATCATGGGTTTCATTATGGTCCGACTGATAGAAATATCGATCCAATGCTCGTACACAAGGTGGTAATATAAAGTGAAAAGAAACCAACAACTCCCTTTTAGCTCGATATCCTCCTTGTTTGCTGTTCAGTAGCCGAATAATCTTCCTGTACTGGTACAAGGTCTTTTTCTCTTGATTCGTCATGGGAATGTAACCGATGATGATGTTATGTAACAACGTGATGATCGTCTTAAACTGGGGTTTGGTCAGATGAGACAGTAACGTTTTACGCTGTACAGGCTTAGATTGTCTCAGTACGTGGAGAAAATCCACATTGTCTCGAATACACTCACTCATGGTGTGTACCGATTCTTTTTGTAAATGTAGCACGTAGGTTCCCCGTATGAATTAACTAGGTCTACCCCGGTGCACCAAGCTTGTCGAAGTGAGTTTATGCATGCCTCTTTCGATGAAAAGAACGTGGGGCTCTCCTTTAAGGTGATCTCTTCAGCCTGCTGCGGGGTAGCTCTTACGGATAAGGTAGATGGTGGTGGGTTACACACGATCGTCCAAAAGTAGACCTTGCTCATAGCGCGGCTGCTGTAAGACTGACTCGACCAAAGAGTGTTTATCGGTTTTATTTCGGAAAATAGAGGGTGCAAAGTTCGCCGGGTAAGATACCGGTGCGTAAGCATCCGTATTCCGGATCACTGTATGGTGATCCACGACTTTGACCTGGAAACAGTTGCGAGGCTAAAATCTTGTATTCGTGCGCGGAACGGGGATTGCTCATTAATACGAACATATGCGTAGTCACGCTCACGGTCCGTGAACAAGGACCTTTAGGGTAGACAGACTGTAGCAGGTTGAGTACGGTAATGCCTAGATGATGTGATAAAGTGGTGTACACATTTAACATGAGTTTGCTGGTACATATGTCCATCATGAGATGGTCTAACACGAGAATCATGTTTTTGCTCGACTGATCGGACCACAAACGTAAATCGCTTTCCCTGGGCAACTATTCATGAAACTGAATGTTGGCGATCAATTGCTGCATGTCGGCGTACAGATCCTGCCACACCCCGTAACAGTACACGATTAGGTTGGGTGGCTTATCAAACACTGTATTGGCATTCTGTAACAACTGTTTCATCCAATAGGTTTTCCCACTACACGTGCCCCCAATCACGGACAAGGTGGTAGGTGTGACGATAGGGAGCAAACATTTCTCGGACATAGTGTTAGCTCACGGAGTGCCTGTCTTAACTGATGCATTCTATCACTCCGTATGAGTGGCTGTTGTTGCTGACGACGCCTAGCCAGCCTTTGGAGAGCTCTTTGGGCTTCGTCTCTGACCTGTCTGACATGTTTATACTTGAATATAAACCGAATCAAGGGAGTATGGTTTAACAGGGTTCGCTTAATGCTTCTACCCGTTGTCTCCGCTCGAGCGATACGTCGCAACATCCTCAAATAATTGTTGTGGGGATTAGGCTGCAAGAAACGGCGTTGCTCTCCACGTGTGACTGGTATGCGAGCATTGAGCAGTCGCTTTACAATGGCTTTAGTACCATTGATTTGTTCATTATTCATGCCACGAATATCACGCAAAGTTTCTTCGTAATCATTCAGTGAAAGAAGTTATCTGTAAAACAGGTTATGTCTCAGCACACATCTGGCCATGACTGTCTCGAACGATGTCACACTCGAGAATGAAACTTACTCGTGAAACTTGAGTCTTAAATAATCATTCACCCATCCATCCATCCATCCATACATACATACATGGCATAACACAATAGACATTTTCTCTGTTTTTTATTTGATCATCTACCACTCTACAGGAACAAGGATTGTGTTATGTCATGGAACATGTTAAACAGTACTTAAAGTAGTCACAGATAAACTGAGTGACATACGCATCATTGCGTGCTTTGTCTGTACTAAACATATGTACGATATCACGTAAAGTAGCACTATTTCTACATTTCTGTAACGAGTAATATAAACAATAGAATCCACAAGCACTCGAATTAGATTGTTGTAAAACAGTCGCGTTATATTGATAACTGCGAGAATGTCTCTTTACAAAGTATTCAAATTCACGATGATAGTAACTCGGTTTCTGTCCGTAACTGTCAAAAAACTCGCCGACTCCACTCCTGTCAAAGTAGAAAGCGAGCCAGTGTTGTCCCTCGCCTCGTGCTAAGTCAGTGTTAACCACACATCCCCACGGTCTTCCACTGGAAGGTGAAGCGATGTTAGCTATGGTATCTCTCGTATACACACCCACGTGCACCATGACACTACGGAGGCTGGGATCGCTACGGATGGCACACTGTAACTGTTGTTTGTACATTGACTACTTTAGAAACACGTTCCGGCTTTGGTCGATTTAGATAAGTGCCGGAAACTTGGCCAGGGCGATGACGTTGAAGGTATGGGCGACCGCCTGAGCAAACTGGACTTCTAGTCTCAGATTACCCGACTTGAGCAGATTCAGATATTCCGATCTGTCAGCTCCGATGTCTTGCAGGTTAAACACGTACAAGGCATGACCTATGGGAAATTCTGTGCTGTCCAAGTTCAAACCTTTGTCTTTGCGCCATTCGTTATTCCAATCGTACAGGCTAGCGTAAGCCTTGATGTCATCCGACTCAAACGGGCGTCGTGGTACACTGGTACCATTCAAGTACAGTCCCACGCTTTTAATGATGTCTCCTTGGAAACAGAAGGGATTAGCCATGTACGATCCGTTCACCCCATTGGACCTCACCAAGGCGATAATCAGTCGACTGGGAACTTCGTCTTGAAACATGGCGTCCCAGTTAAAACTCAGACTGGAAGAGGCGACCGAGGCCATCTTGACCACGGATCTTTCGTACGGGTACATGGCATTACCTTTTTCGAACTGTTTGTTGTGGGCCACAATGAGAGCGTCGTTGATTCTGAGTTTGCATACTTTCAGGTACACGTCTTGCAGTTCGACGGTGTAATCTTTATTGGTCTCTTCTGACATCAAGACAAAGGATGTGCTGGAACGAAACAGTTTGAGTCCCACGTCCACACCATTCACCAGTTGATGTTGGAAACCGAACACATCTTCCATGATAGGTCCTGTTAGGGTAAGCGACTTGCTCCCGGCGATAAAACCTCCGCGGTTGACAAGACTGTCATTCCCGCCGGCGTAGGGGTCCCCGGAGTTGAACTCGTCTACGGTGTCACCTGAATCTTTGTAATACAGCTGAGTAGTCAGTTGGCTGGTCTTAGCATCTGTTCCATAGTCGAGAACGGTTTCCATGAGGGCTTTGTAAGGGTAACCGCCATTGCTGGAGCTGACCTGTTGACCTTGTAGAAACACGCTTACCTGACTCCACAAGCTTTGCAGAGTGAGGTTGATGGGCCCTACTTTTTCTTTATCGGCTAAGGGTGTTTTGTCGATATGAGTGACCTTCAGTTTGACGTGAAGTCGAGTCTGACTCAAGTTGATGTAGTCTTTACCTCCGTTGGGAATGTGAAATTCCACCGGACTGGAATCGGTGATGACAGACAGTGGCCTAATGTTTTCGTAATAGTGTTGCAGGATGCTGGTTTGATAGGGTGGCAAGTCGAATAAATCTAAGCTATTTGGCAGGGCTTCGGTAAACTCTTTCTCCGTCAGTACAGACATGGTTACTGGTTGAAGATGTCTCTGGGGTCGATAGCGGGAGTATCTTTAAACTCGATGAAGGATCGTTTGGAGCTGTTACCTTCACAACGTACTTTCTTCAAAGTGACAATCTTGTCCCCTGCTTTGCATTTTATAGCCTTGGTCCGCTTCTGAGCTGCCTCGGCTCTCTGGACCACGTTCTGATTAGGTGATGTCATTGTTATGTTCAAGTTAGAGTCGCGACTAGGTGGTACTTTGACTTGGGGTGCGATGGGAATGATACGCGAACCTGGGTCGACCTTTGATCAGCTGTTTTCCCGCATGGTTATTTTTTGCGATTTACTAAAAAGTCCACAAACTTCTTGGTGTCGGGAATGTACAGTTTCCGTCTATCGTGCTTAGCTCAGAAAGGGATACCGTCGCAACACGAGTGATACGTTCACGGTCTCTCTCAGAAATGAATGAGGGATTCCTTCTGCACACTTTATATACACTTCGATTTCCGAGGTGTCTCTCACGATGATGGGTAAGTACCAAGGATAATGAAAAAATAGTTGGGTTTGTCTCTCAGATCGAGCCGTCTCAACAAAGGCAGATAATGTTCACCCACGTGTGAACTGTCGCCATAGGTTACACATCACATCAATGGTGGTATTATTGATATCTTTCAACTCTAGTTTGCCTAGTTTCATTTCTAACAGAGCCACCATCCACATGCCCTCTAGTTTCAAATGTTGAGACAGTTTCACGCGGAAACGGTAAGGCGTGTTGTCCGGGAAATACTCCTGTGAGTCTGCACTGTTAAACTTGATGTATTTATCCATTTTACGTATTCTTCACTTAGCTTGTTTCTGCCCAGGAATCGAATTCGATGGCCAGCCTGCCCACCTGACCAAATAGTACACTTTCCCTTTGTCTTTCTTTTTCTTTAACACTTTTTCAATATCCCATGCGGCATCTAGATCTTTATCGGCACGCTGTAATTCTTCTTCGTAAAAGCGCCCCTTTAAGAGCTCGTGAAAATCTTTCAGTGTGTATAATGGGATGGTTTGTCGGCGATGACACGTTGCTACTTTAAATAACTCTTCCGTCCATCGCAAGTTGTGTTCCTTAGCAAACGGCTTTCTCAAATAACTGATTCTCACGATATCCCCTATTTTATACTTAAATGAACGGGACTTGTGTGTGATGAATGTGGATGGATTCATGTATAAATGTCCCCATTCTTTGACTTCGTTTTGTTGGTTCACTTCTGCAGGGGACCACTCGCCTAAACTTCTGTGTACGGTGTGATTGTAATTATATACTAAATCGGCTAACAGACCGATATAGCGCTGTGTGTTCTTGTGTGTTAAATACCTCGCTATGAGCGACCTCAACGTTCGAATGACCCTCTCCGCATAATTCGCTTTAATGTCTTCGTTCTGAGTGACGAACAGTTTGATGGACTGACTTTCTATAAAATCCTTGAAAACGCCTTTGAATTCTGTACCTTTATCCACTCTGATGGTTTGCGGCTTGCGACCGTGTGACAGAATGTCTTTGAATGCCTGCACGATTGACTCGGGCTTCTTGTTTCTTAAAGGGGCTACCCACAGATAGCGTGACAATATGTCAATAGCTATCAACACATAACGTATACCATCGTTGGCTTTAGCATAGCGACTCATGTCCATCAGATCGACATCCCACTGTTGATCTATTCTGTTAACAAGTACTCTGAGGCGTTGAAATTTGTGTTTCACCGGCTTATGAAGCGTGTAAGCATCGTGCTTACTCAACTCGGTTTTTACCTTGGATGCGGTAACCTTTTTCCCTAGTCTTTTCAAACTTTGTAGAAATTTGGAGGCACCGTAATACGCACCTGGGGACTTAGGGTTAAAGTAATAGCCCTCTAAGGCTTGCCGGTGAGACGATGACATGTTTCTATCTCGTGAGGTAATTTCAACTGTAAACCTCGTGTAGACCTACTCTCTTTTATATACACGTCAATGATAACAGACCCGTGAAATGTACAATACTATCGTTTTATTACATATAAGACAAACATGAGTGTAGAGCTTGCGAAATGTTACTTCGGATCATACACAACAGCATACCGTTCACCGGAATGCTCTTTCTAAATACAACATTTTCCATACACGGTCTTGTATGTCTTTTAACCAGTCACATGTTTTAAAGTGAGTGTCCAGATAGTCCTTACACCGATACTGACAGATGACATGGGAAGACACGTTGTTCAGGCTCGGATCTTCGTGAATCAATCGAATCCACTGATCGATCACACGATCGTCATTCACTTCGTCTAAGGCTGTGTTCATGTATTGGTGTATTTTGTGTTGGTCGGACAAGTCCTGACACGTATGGTACTGACTGTCAGTTTGTTCAAACATAAATCCAAAACACAATATATAATTTGACATAGTTCCAAGGTATAACATAGAGTCAGTAACGACAACATGTAGTCAGTCACTTCAACAGATTCTACTTCTTAGTGATGACTCGTTTTAACTTCTTATCCTCGTTGGGGACTTTCGTCTCGGCATCTTGTATACAGTTTTCCCGATGTTGAAACCACTGAGTTGACTGTATAACGACTGTTTTGTGGATACGATCGGGTTCGCGTTGCACGTACTTCCAGGTGAAGAAGTCATTGTTTCACTCGACATTCTATATAGGATGCTAGTTCTCTTTCTCGGCAAGCATGCAGGGAAGGGTGCGACTCGTAAGGAAGTCTCATCCCTGAATGATTCGCTATGCGTGGTGTACTTTTTATATCTGCTATATTCAGAACATCTGCAGCACAGCTATAACATACTCACACCCTGTGGATTGAATGCTCTTCAGTCATCCAAAAGATGGATTTCTGCTGCTCGTTTGCATGGCTCTAGGATAGGGTACACCTAAATGTTTATTCGATATCTGATGTCGACACACGTCTGTTGTAGGTGTTGTTCAACTAACTCGTGACGGTTGAGACTTAATTCTCAGGTTGGGAAGGAGATATCCGAGAGAGGAACTTAAAAGTGCAGTCCAAAGATTAGAGTTTCCTTTTTCCAAAGATAAATTCACGATGCAGGTAATCACTACGATATAGATAATGAAAATTTGAGAGAAAAATACAGTTTCTGGCTTGGCTGTCTTCCTACCGAATAGTCTCCAAGGCTCTCCAGAGCTACTCCTAGTGAGAGGTTGTGCCTCTACGTGCTCCTCCATTCTTATGAAGCGATCGTTGATGGTTCATCGCTTATATTATAACATTGCCGAGTTCAATCCACTGTTATCTCAAAGCGTGGTATTGTGGATAATTGATACAATACCATAAACAGTCTATGTCTAAAACATAACTTTCTGTAGCTTATTTGAGTTCACTATAACTTACACATACTTCATGGATTGTATGCTATACAGTCATCCAGTAGAGCACTGACTTTGAGGAGCTGGGGCCATTCTTCCGGCTTAAGGGCCATGCCTTTACGCGTGGGTTATAATTCTCATTCACCATCGGGTAGCCACCACTGCCGTATATCCACGACTTTGTTGGGTGAATTCATGGTTAGGAAAACGTTACGGCTTAACGGTAGACAGACAGAACAATCTTCTTTGTTTAGGATTTGAGATAATGAGTCTGAGACAGTGTTTTCAATAACCTTCAGCTGCGCCCATTGATCGAGAGATAAACAAATACCTGTTTTGGTGGGATAGAGTATACCTTCAGCACTCCATTCGTAATGACGAAGGTCTAGTTTCAAGTCTCCACTCCAACGGGTGGTCTTGATATACCGACTACTGCCGATATGAAACATGTTCTCTCGATCGTCTCTCTGTTCTTCTGATGAACCCACTGTTTGCTTTGTGGGTTCCTGAGATAGGCTTGTACTGCTCGTTGCCATAACTCTAGGATAGAGATGTGATCTTCTAGGTAGTAAGCAATAACACTGAGCAAAGTGAAAAGCATTCAGCGTGGTACTGAAGACTTCTATGTTGTAAATGATTCACTATTCGACCGAATCTGTTTCATATATCGCGGGTGTGGTCACGTGACGTAGACGTGTTGAAACTTGTCTGATAGGACTATTCTGACGAATGATTGACATATAATAACTATCCATTCAACGCGTCTGTGTATCTCACTGTAGACATGACTGACAGGTTGGGATAGGGACCACCCATGTATGCTCACACGGGAAAAGACATTGAACCTTTTCCTTCACAGCCCTCAGTACACACACCTGCCTGTTGCATTGGCTGTTCAGTCATGCATGTCGTCCTCCTTGAGTACTGAGTATACTTTGTGAACTATGGTTTTTCAGTCTGATCACGTTGCCTATAATGTGATGCTATCTACAACTGAAGCTGGATTTAGTTATTTTCAAAATGTCACTGATATTTTGCGAGTTCTTTTTTGGGACTGAGGTATAACTATCTTTATTTTATATGAGCTAACACAGTTTACGCATTTGGAAATGATGAGGTGGGAGGGTGTCACGTCCTAAATTTCTAAAATCTGTTCTCTGTCTGAACAGGGCAGGACAGAACTGTTTCAATAAGCAGATTCCTAGCCTCTACATTTCTATTTCTTTCGTCTCTCTCCAAATGATGTGACTTTCATGGTATTATACGTGTGCTATATGATATTGATATGCTTCTATCCATGTGTATTTCAAGCCTCTTTTTTCAAACATCTCGCTGTCTAGTAAAATTAAAAATGTATCCAGTAGTGTACATGGCTCAAAATCATTTATTTCTCATCACGCTATATTTGGATGGAAAAAAAAAACTAGTATGAAATAACATATAAACCTACACCGACTTTCCATTACTTTGATGGTGTTATACTTGTACAGGACGCGTTCTGTATGAAATGTTTTTCAACTACATTTTACATGACTCGAAGATTCCGTCTCCGAACCATGTTGACACAACCCGTCTCTATTGTGATACGATGTACTTTCAACACACACCCTACATTCATCAAAACAGGTCGCACGCTCTGTCGAGCGCGGGCTATTTAAAACGATGGAGTCACGTGAGTGGTCAACCGCGCTCAATTCAAAACCGGGCTGACGGGTACTGTCTGTCTGTCTATTCAGGGCAGGATGCTATACATAGCTCTATTCAGGACACTTTGCTTTTGTTTGTTTTTCTCGCTTAATGAAGAGTTTTCTGCACGACTGCCTTAAAACACCCACACCTTTCATTGAACTTTCCTGACCTGTGACGTGCTGTCTATATTTACCTATCAGCTATGATCACGTGACTTACATCAGCCAATCCATTTCCTTACCCTTCCCTCAACCTCCCTCAACCAAAAGGACCGTCTGTTCCCACCTACAATACTACTATCATGTTCTAGGTATCCAGATTCTCAGTAGCCCTGTGTATCTGATATACCTGTATACATGAGGCCAGTCCACAGCCATGCTATCAGACTGTCTTCAACTGTGTTACCTTGCACGGATCATTCTCTCCACAACCGATACACAAAAATGAAGATAAGGTGTATCTGGCAGTAGTCTTAAGTTTTATCAGGAAATATATTCTTGTAAGTTAGATATGTCTCATCCAGAGGTTGTAAGTGAGATATGTCTCAACCAGGGGTTGTTGGTGAAATATGTCTCATCCAGAGGTTGTAAGTGAGATATATCTCATCCAGGGGTTGTAAGTGAGATATATCTCATCCAGAGGTTGTAAGTTAGACATATCTCATCTAGAGGTTGCAAGTGAGATTTGTCTCATCTAGAGGTTGTAAATGAGATATGATGTCAACCAACACAAATGTCTCTTCCAGATGTTCATCATGGATCAGGACTGGAAAGACCCGAAAGCTCAGTTACAACAGTGTTGTCTAACCCTGAGAGAGCTGGATGGTGGAGAGCCAGACATTCCTGTCTACAAGTAAGTGTTGTCTAACGTTGAGAGAGCTGGATGGTGGAGAGCCAGACATTCCTGTCTACAAGTAAGTGTTGTCTAACCCTATCAGTAAGTGTTAAATGAATAAGAGAGCCAGCCATACTTAAATAGGCAAGTGTTGCCGGATCTCTAAGCTTTGGCAGGCTCCAGAGAACACTCCATTCAGTGCGTATACCCGAATGACGAGGAATTCTTTGCAGTTGATATCTATGGTATTGTGCATAATCAACCCCTCCAAGAATCAGGAAGGTGATCAGGTTTAAATTGGACCATGTATCACATTATCACATTTCTTCCACAGGGTCATAGAGTCCCGTGGTCCGACCAACACAAGGCAGTACGTGGTGGCAGTGTACTTCCAGGGTGAGCGGCTAGCCACTGGCATGGGGCACAGCATACAGCGGGCAGAGATGAAGGCTGCCACAAATGCTTTACAGAACAGCTGTGTGTTCTCTGTCGTCCCTATGTTCCCCCAAGGATGGCCTGACAGTATGACCTGACTGACAGTGTGACCTGTCTCACAGTGTGACCAGTCTGACCTGTCTGGTTGTGTGACCTGTCTGACAGTGTGACTTACAGAACAGAGCAGGTAATGAAAGCTGTGTGTTCTCTGTCGTCCCTATGTTCCCCCAAGGATGGCCTGACAGTGTGACCTGTCTGACAGTGTGACCAGTCTGACAGTGTGACCAGTCCGACAGTGTGACCTGTCTGACAGTGTGACCTGACTGGGTGTGTGACCTGTCTGGTTGTGTGACCAGTGTGACCTGTCTGAAAGTGTGACCTGTCTAGTTGTGTCACCAGTCTGACAGTGTGACCTGTCTGAAAGTGTGACCAATCTGACAGTGTGAATTGTCTGGTTTTGTGACCAGTCTGACAGTGTGACATGTCTGGTTGTGTGACCTGTCTGGTTGTGTGACATGTCTGGGTGTGTGACCTGACTTGGTATGTGACCTGTCTGGTTTTGTGACCAGTCTGACATTGTGACCTGTCTGGTTGTGTGGTTGTGTGACCAGTCTGACAGTGTGGCCTGACTTGGTATGTGACCAGTGTAACCTGTCTGGTTGTGTGACCTGTCTGGTTTTGTGACCAGTCTGACAATGTGACCAGTCTGGTTGTGTGACCTGTCTGATAATGTGACCTGTCTGACAATGTGACCTGTCTGGTTGTGTGACCAGTCTGACCAGTCTGACTATGTGACCAGTCTGGTTGTGTGACCAGTCTGACAATGTGACCTGTCTGGTTGTGTGACCAGTCTGACAATGTGACCTGTCTGGTTGTGTGACCAGTCTGACAATGTGTCCTGTCTGGTTGTGTGACCTGTCTGGTTGTGTGCCCAGTCTGACAATGTGACCTATCTGGTTGTGTAACCAGTCTGACAATGTTACCTGTCTGGTTGTGTGACCAGTCTGAAAATGTGACCAGTCTGACAATGTTACCTGTCTGGGTGTGTGACCTGTCTGACAATGTGACCTGTCTGGCTGTGTGACCTGTCTGGTTGTGTGACCTGTCTGGCAGTGTGGGTCATTGTATGTTTGGTGGGTTTTAAATGACTGGAATCAAACTTGCTCAGATTGAGAACTAGTGAGGCTTAGTCCCATTTAGCATCCTCAAGTTCATCCCACATCATCTGTGTCTGTGAACCTATTGTGAAATTAGCAAGTATTGGAGACAGCTCTGAATATAATTGTACGATGCTTGAGATATTTCATGACACCACCTGTTACATATACGTAAGTGGATAATGTCTATAAATCTATACTGAAGCCCTGTAACTTTATTCATCATATCCAAGCCAGTATTTTGTGTGTTACCATATTCTGGATGGTATTGTGTAATATGTTGAACACACATGCAAAATATTGAAATGGTTCTTGTGGTAAATCCTAAAAATCTTGCCTGCATTGATCGCAGATTCTTAGCCTTGTCTATCTTTGTAAATCCTTTTTTGTTTTACAGAATTGTTCCCTATATTGGCTCATCAGAAACGCTACCTGCAGACACGCCACAAACGTAACGTAAACAGAGCAAGCGACAAGGTGACAGTTCATATGACTGAGAAAGTACAAGACCTGTACAAAAGAAACAAACATGCATAGAAAAGAAAAAGGACTTTTTTGACATTATCTTCAAGATCACCACGGCACTCTGAACACTTTTCAAACTGTTTTAACGTGATATCACATGCACTGTTGTGTCCAATATCTTCAAATTTGGTGACAGCCTACATTAGGGGATTTCCCAGACACCAGTCGATTTGGGTGACCTTGACCTTATCTTCAAGGTCACCACGGCACTCTGAACACTTTTCAAGCTCTTGTTAATGCGACATCTCATGGACTGTTGTACCCAATGTCTTCAAATTTGGTGACAGCCTACATTAAGGGATTATGCAGACACCAGTTGATTTAGGTGACCTTGGCCTTATCTTCAAGGTCACCACGACACTTTGACCACTTTTCAAACTTATTTAAACGCGATATCTCATAAAATATTGCACCCAATGTTTTCAATTATGTCGACAGCCAACATTGGGTGATTATGCAGACACCAGTCATTTAAAGCATCTTGTATGTGACCCAAAAAAATTAAAGTAGTAAATATAGATATTCCATTCTATAGTGGCGGGGGACATTGCCATATCAGTGGGAAACACTAGAGATTCTTATTGTGGTCTTGTGTTGTTTGGATTCTCTGGATGACAAGACTGCTTTAGGGGGATTTAGGGATTCTTATTGTGGTCTTGTGTTGTTTGGATTGTCTGGATGACAAGACTGCCTGGTGGGGATTTAGGGACAGAAATACCTCTCAGTACCTTTTATTTGTAAAACATACCACTGAAAGGATTCTTTCATATTGCTATAGTTCATATATCATGGCATGAAAGATTGACTATGGTGATGAGAGATATGGATGAGGATAGTTGGGTTATCCTTAACTTCTTCTTTAGTAGTAGATAACTGGTGAAGATTGACTAGTTTCAGTGTAAGACAGAACGTTGCCACTCTGTGGTATAACAGAAGTATTGTTTTTCCCAGTGTTAGATCAAATCACTGACAAAAGATTGAAGGGGCACGATTACACCCACAACCATGGTAACTCATCACAAATACACGGGGAAGTATGGAGATGAAACAGTGGACGATGTTTTAACTTTATTTTTACAATTTTTGAAAAACAAAAACATTTCTCACTTGGTATTAGCTACCGGTAACCATATTTACAGATGTCGATCCAACAAGATGGATATTTCGTACGTTAACAGTAATGGCGCGACAAAGTACATCTAAGTCTTTGAACGATACCCATGTAGATTCGGGTTAGAATTGATCTTCAGTAACCAATGCTTGTCATAAGAGGCGATCGGGTAGTCAGACTCGCTGACTTGGTTGAGACATGTCATTGTATCCGTATTGCACAGATCGATGCTCATGCTGTTGATCACTGGATTGTCTGGTCCAGACTCAATTATTTACATGTGGAATATTGCTGAAAGCGGCGTAAAACTAAACTCACTCACACACTCTTTGAAAGGCATTTAGAAGTGATACACATAAAAGCAAGAATTAACGGATGTCAGTTTCTTTATTTGAGGAACACAAAGTTTCGGAGTATATTCTAACTCCTTCATCAGGGCAATGGGGGTAACTGGGAGCATATTGCCAGTTTTACATTACACTGAATATAGATACAATCGTAAGTGTCATACGTGTACATATATACATGTATACCAACTGTAAATAACTGCAATAATAATCATATTATAGGATATTTATATAGTACACATATCCACTAGTACATGCTCAAGGTGCAGTTCTTATTTCACTTTCAAACCAATTTATCAGCACCTGAAACCTGCTGTCATTTAATCCTGGGTATTAACTACAACATTTTGACTCATATGGGATTTGAGACATTAGACTCAACATCACTACCTGACTTGGCCATCTGACAACAAAAAATGAACTTTTGGTAACATTTGTGAAAGAAATTGTCAGGAGCAGTTAAACATTACACTGTATGATCACTGAATAAACCTGGGGATTCAGATCCCAGAAGATGTTATACTCAAAGGGGCCAACTTTCTAAATAACCAGCTAGAAGAAAGATCTAATGTGTGTGTGGTAGACACTTATTCAGATAGGGCACATGTACACATGTTCATGTGTGTCTCTTGTCTCAGCTGACTAACAATATGTTCTGTCCCTGTGAGTAGATACATTATATCAGAGATCATAGAGACAAACATGTCCTTCCCCCGGCCATCACCCAGCTATATGATAACAGTATATAACTTTGTTGACTGGCGACTAGAAGTTTGATAGTTACATAAAACATAAACAGTAACGAGTCCTATTTTCCTCTCAAATACTGGTATACAACAAGAAATTTGATAGTTACATAAAATATACTCAGTGATGGCACCTATTTACCTCTCAAATACTGGTAAACAATAATGGACTAAATAGTTACATAAAATATATGCAGTGATCATTCGTACTTTCCTCTCAAACACTGCTATTCAATAATAGATTAGACAGTTATATATATATATATATATATATATATATATATATACAACAAGTAATATATATACAGTAATGGCTTAGATAATCTAATCAAATATATACAGTAATGGTTCAGATGGTCTCATCAAATATATACAGCAATGGTTCAGATAGTCTTGTCAAATATATACTGTAATGGTTCAGACGGTTTTCTCAAATATATGCAGTAATGGTTCAGGCAGTCTTGTCAAATATGTACAGTTATGGTTGAGATGGTCTTGTCAAATATATACAGTAATGGTTCAGGCAGTCTTATCAAATATGTACAGTAATGGTTCAAATGGTCGTGTCAAATATATGCACTAATGATTCAGATAGTCTTATCAAATATATACAGTAATGGTTCAGGCAGTTTTGACAAATATATGCAGTAATGGTTCAGATGTTCTTATCAAATATATACAGTAATGGTTCAGATAGTTTACCAAATATATGCAGTAATGGTTCAGATAGTTTATCAAATATATACAGTAATGGTTCAGATGGTCTTATCAAATATATACAGTAATGGTTGAGATGTTCTTATCAAATTTATACAGTAATGGTTCAGATAGTCTTGTCAAATATATGCAGTAACGGTTCAGATAGTCTTGTCAAATATGTGCAGTAATAGTTCAGATAGTCTTGTCAAATATATACAGTGATGGCTCAGATAGTCTTATCAAATATATACAGTAATGGCTCAGATAGTCTTATCAAATATATACAGTAATGGTTGAGATGTTCTTATCAAATATATACAGTAATGGTTCAGATAGTCTTGTCAAATATCTACAGTAATGGTTCAAATGGTCGTGTTAAATATATGCACTAATGATTCAGATAGTCTTATCAAATATATGCAGTAATGGTTCAGATAGTCTTATCAAATATATACAGTAATGGTTCAGGCAGTTTTGTCAAATATATGCAGTAATGGTTCAGATAGTCTGTGAAATATCTAAAGTAATGGTTCACACAGTCTTGTCAAACATATACAGTGATGGTTTAGATGGTCTTATCAAATATATACAGTGATTATTCAGTTAGTCTTATCAAATATATGCAGTAATGGTTCAGATGTTCTTGTCAAATATATACAGTAATGGTTCAGATAGTTTATCAAATATATGCAGTAATGATTCAGATAGTTTATCAAATATATACAGTAATGGTTCAAATGGTCTTATCAAATATATGCAGTAATGGTTCAGATAGTTTTGTCAAATATATACTGTAATGGTTCAGATAGTCTGTGAAATAGCTAAAGTAATGGTTCACACAGCCTTGTCAAACATATACGGTGATGGTTTAGATGATCGATGATCTTATCAAATATATACAGTGATTATTCAGTTAGTCTTATCAAATATATGCAGTAATGGTTCAGATGGCCTTGTCAAATATATGCAGAAATGGTTCAAATGGTCTTATCAAATATATGCAGTAATTGTTCAGATAGTCTCATCAAATATATGCAGTAATGGTTCAGATAGTCTTATTAAATACATGATAGTTTTCTCAAATATGTACAGTAATGGTTCAGATGGTCTTATTTAATATATGCAGTAATGGTTCACACAGTCTTGTCAAATATATACAGTAATGGTTCAGATGGTCTTATCAAATACATGATAGTTTTCTCAAATATATGCAGTAATGGTTCACATAGTCTTATCAAATTTATGCATTACTGGTTCAGAGAGTCTTGTCAAATATATGCAGTAATGGTTCAGATATTCTTGTCAAATATATGCAGTAATGGTTCAGGAAGTCTTGTCGAACATATACAGTGATGGTTTAGATGGTCTTATCAAATATATACAGTGACTGTTCAGTTAGTCTTATCAAATATATGCAGGTTAGTCTTATCAAATATGCAGGTTAGTCTTATCAAATATATGCAGTAATGGTTCAGATAGTTTTATCAAATATATCAAATAGTCTGTGAAATACAGCAGTAATGGTTCAGATGGTCTTAATCAAAGTCTTGTCAAACATATACAGTTTAATGGTTCAGATAGTCTTATCAAATTTGCAGTAATGGTTCAAGATAGTTCAGTCAAATATCAAATATACAAATATAATGGTTCAGATAGTCTGTGAAATATATGCAGTAATGGTTCAGACAGTATTATCAGAATATCTAAAGTAATGGTTCACACAGTCAGTAATGGTGAAACATATACAGTGATGGTTTAGATCAGATAGTCTATATCAAAGATATACAGTGATTGTTCAGTTAGTCTTATCAAATATATGCAGTAATGGTTCAGATCAGTTAGTCTTGTCAAATATATGCAGTAATGGTTCAGATGGTCTTGTCAAATATATGCAGTGCAATGGTTCAAATATATGATCGAGATAGTCTTATCAAAATATACAGTAATGTTCAGATAGTCTCATCAAATATATGCAGTAATGGTTCAGATAGTCTTAATAAATACATGATAGTTTTCTCAAATATATACAATGGTTCAGATAGTCTTGTCAAATATATACAGTAATGGTTCTGATATCAAATACATGATAGTACAGTAATGGTTATATGTTATCAAATATCTACAGTAAATGGTTCAGATAGTCTTATCAAATATATACAGTAATGGTTCAGATAGTCTTATCAAATACATACAGTAATGGTTCAGATAGATAGTCTTAGTTAGTCTTGTCAAATATATGCAGTAATGGTTCACATAGTCTTATCAAATTTATGCATTACTGGTTCAGATAGTCTTGTCAAATATATGCATTACTGGTTCAGATAGTCTTGTCAAATATATGCAGTGATTGTTCAGATAGTCTTATCAAATATATACAGTAATGGTTCAGATGGTCTTATCAAATATATACAGTAATGGTTCAGATGGTCTTATCAAATGTATACAGAAATGGTTCAGATAGTTTTATCAAATATATACAGCAATGGCTCAGATAGTTTAATCAAATATATTCAGGAATGGTTCAGATAGTCTGTGAAATATATGCAGTAATGGTTCAGACAGTATTATCAAATATCTAAAGTAATGGTTCACACAGTCTTGTCAAACATATATAGTGATGGTTTAGATCGTCTTATCAAATATATACAGTGATTGTTCAGTTAGTCTTATCAAATATATGCAGTAATGGTTCAGATGGTCTTGTCAAATATATGCAGTAATGGTTCAGATGGTCTTATCAAATATATGCAGTAATGGTTCAGATAGTCTTATCAAATATATACAGTAATCGTTCAGATAGTCTCATCAAATATATGCAGTAATGGTTCAGATAGTCTTAATAAATACATGATAGTTTTCTCAAATATATACAGTAATGGTTCAGGCAGTTTTGACAAATATATGCAGTAATGGTTCACACAGTCTTGTCAAATATATACAGTAATGGTTCTGATGGTCTTATCAAATACATGATAGTTTTCTCAAATATATACAGTAATGGTTCAGATATTGTTATCAAATATCTACAGTAATGGCTTAGTTAGTCTTGTCAAATATATGCAGTAATGGTTCACACATTCTTGTCAAATATATACAGTAATGGTTCAGATGGTCTTATCAAATACATGATAATTTTCTCAAATATATACAGTAATGGTTCAGATATTGTTATCAAATATCTACAGTAATGGCTTAGTTAGTCTTGTCAAATATATGCAGTAATGGTTCACATAGTCTTATCAAATTTATGCATTACTGGTTCAGATAGTCTTGTCAAATATATGCATTACTGGTTCAGATAGTCTTGTCAAATATATGCAGTGATTGTTCAGATAGTCTTATCAAATATATACATTAATGGTTCAGATGGTCTTATCAAATATATACAGTGATGGTTCAGATGGTCTAATCAAATATATACAGAAATGTTTCAGATAGTTTTATCAAATATATACAGCAATGGCTCAGATAGTTTAATCAAATATATTCAGGAATGGCTCGGATTGAAGTTTTTATGCAAGCTGGATAGTTTGAATCTACTTGTATTTCCAACTGAACTACCAGCCTTAATGTTGTTGGACTTTTTATGAAAAAATAACAGCCTTTCAAAAATGTAATTTTTGTGGCAGATATGATGTTATTTTTAGTCGATATTGTGAACAATAATTATTTTTTCAAACACTTTCTGTGAACATTTACTTCCTTTTTTTATAAAGCCCTAGCTCCCAAATACCAAATGATCATGGGAGGAAATCTAAGAAATATATAAAGGAACATTACCATGAAGTGGTGTTCCCTTATTTGTTTCCATCAGTATAGTTCAAAATGAGGTCACTCATGGGGTGCAGGTGGTCAATGTAATATAAAACTTGGTGGACCGATTTCTTTCTGATAGTTACTAGACAAGTATATACACCTTCTACAATGCTGTTTTCTGTATTTGAACACCATTAATATACACATTTAAATATGGATTGTCATGCAGACTTCAGGTTTCAGTACAGGTGCTACTATCATTCCTGAGTTGACAGATATGGTGTACAGTCTATGTACATTTCAGTTTATCAGCACTGTACAACTGGATCACAAAACTAACGTCCCACTAGTGCCCACTGTTTAGATATGTACACTGAATATATACATGCAGTTAGTTGTCATATGATGTGAATAATCCATTTATCTGCATAATTAACAGATGATGTACCAGGAGTGTCAGGCATCCAGGAACAACCCAGTTGAGATTTAACTCACTCTCTACCAGGTGTGTGTGTGTCAGCAGAGACGAAAACGTCTCATCTTTTTCATAGGTTACTCATAATCCAGTCAAATCCTTCATTGGTGTCGTGGTACTTTGAGTGGGGTAGCCTCAGCTAGTTAGATCCTTCATTGGTGTCGTGGTACTTTGAGTGGGGTAGCCTCAGCTAGTTAGATCCTTTGTTGGTGTCGTGGTACTTTGAGTGGGGTAGCCTCAGCTAGTTAGATCCTTCATTGGTGTCGTGGTACTTTGAGTGGGGTAGCCTCAGCTAGTTAGATCCTTCATTGGTGTCATGGTACTTTGAGTGGGGTAGCCTCAGCTAGTTAGATCCTTCATTGGTGTCGTGGTACTTTGGGTGGGGTAGCCTCAGCTCGTTAGATCCTTCGTTGGTGTCATGGTACTTTGAGTGGGGTTGCCTCAGCTAGTTAGATCCTTCGTTGGTGTCGTGGTACTTTGAGTGGGGTAGCCTCAGCTAGTTAGATCCTTCATTGGTGTCGTGGTACTTGAGTGGGGTAGCCTCAGCTAGTTAGATCCTTTGTTGGTGTCGTGGTACTTTGAGTGGGGTAGCCTCAGCTAGTTAGATCCTTCATTGGTGTCATGGTACTTTGAGTGGGGTAGCCTCAGCTAGTTAGATCCTTCATTGGTGTCGTGGTACTTTGAGTGGGGTAGCCTCAGCTTCCTGTGAACTTTCCTGAATTCTTTTTCTTCCATACCTGTGGAAATAACATGTCGTATAAGCATAACGTAGACACTTGAAGTCATCATACACATTGAATGACTCCTTCTTGTTTGGAGATAGATAGATAGATAGATAGATAGATAGGTAGGTAGGTAGGTAGGATAGAGAGAGTTCGATAGATAGATCGATAGAGATAGATAGATAGTGAGATATAGAGATAGATATATAGTTAGATATATATATAGATAGATAGAGAGAGAGTTAGATAGATATATAAATTGATAGATAGAAAGAGACAGATATAGATATATAGATAGGTAGGAAGGTAGATTAGATAGAGAGAGTTAGATAGAGATAGAGATAAAGACAGATAGAAAGAGAGTTAGATCGATAGAGATATATAGATAGATATAAATAGATAGATAAAGAGAGAGAGTTAGATAGATAGAGTTAGATATAGATAGATAGAGAGAGAGAGAGAGAGAGAGAGAGACCGAGAGAGAGAATTAGATAGATATTCAGCCTGTAGATATATTATCTGGACAAGATAATCTAGTGATTGATATCATGAGCAACAATCAACAAACAACCACGTCACCAAGTCTGACCACTGGATCCATCAATTCACCTCTTACTGATGATCACAGAAAGTAATGGTGACCAGCTATGGCTGAACATTTAAACATGAATGAGGTATTTGCAGTGCTGTTTCACATAATGCTCTGCGCATCCTAGCGTTATAGCAGTTTCAGAAAATACTTTTCATACATCATATCCTCTCCCTATAACACATACTGAAGAATTCTAGAGCTGGTTATTGTAAATCGTTTAAACAGGATACTACTACTAAAAGACTCATAATATTTCTGGTAAATAATATTTCAAGTAATCATGAAGAGAGTTTAAAGAATTTGAATGGCGAAATAAATATGCAACATTATATTATTACTAACAGTAGCATTTTTTTGCATCATTGTCTTTTTACTTTTTAAGGTAGAACGATGCTCATGCTGTTGATCACTGGGTTGTCTTGTCCAGACCCGATTATTTACAGACCGCCGCCATATAGCTGGAATATTGCTGAGTGCGGCGTTAAACAACAAACCAACAACCCACTTACCTTTTATGGAGGATGTTTTTCACCCCTTGGCTGCTGCATACTTCAAGTGGGGATTTCCCGTGAACGTCTCTGACGTCAGCATCTGCACCTGCTTCCAACAGTCTCGACACAAGGCCTTCATATCCTCCTTCACTGGCATAGTGTAGCGGAGTACTGTTATCAGAATTCACAGGCGATAGCGAGACCCTATTTACTATTAGCATTTCCACAATACACGCTTGTCCTTGTTTGCAAGCCACATGCAGTGGCGTGTCCCCACGAGCAGTTCTTGGTTCCAGCAGTGCCCCGGCTTGTATGAGAAGCTCAACACATTCAGAATGTCCTTCATAGCAGCAGCTATGTAATGGGGTATCAAGTTCGGCCTCCCTGTCCATCTGAACTCTGTTCGTATGTCTTGTACAACCACCCTCCATCTTGTCCTTGTCCATGTCACTTGCACAGCTGCCCTCAGTCCTGTCTCTACATATGTTCCCTATATCGGACTCACTACGTCTGTGATTAATATCAACATCATACTTGAGTAACAGTTTCACTGTGTTAATGTAATTGTACGTACAAGCCACAAGAAGGCAGTAGTTTAGATTGTTCATGAATGTTTTCCTCCGTAAGAAGCCCTGATTTTGGTTCTGTGAACACTGAACTTGTATTTGCAGCCATGACCGATGAAGCAACAACTCCACAATGGACTCATGTTGTCGATCACAGGCTAACATCAGAGGGGTCTTTTCTGAATTGTTTGTTGCTAGAATATCACTCCCCATGTTGAGAAGTGCTTTGACAGCATCAGCATGTCCTTCATGACATGCTACATGAAGAGCAGTATCACCGTGCTTGTTACACTGTGTGTCCCTCGCTCCCCACTTAGCCTGGAGAACCACGACATCACACACACCAGCTCTGGCAGCTAAATGCAGAGGTGTATCAAGAGCACTGTCTAATGCATTCATATCTGATCCAGCCTTCAATAAAACTTCAGCAACATCCCTGTGTCCTTCCAGACAAGACAAATGAAGTGCTGTTTGTCCGTCATTGGTTTTTGCCTGGAGATCAGGGTCAGATTCCAGCAGAAGCTTCACGACATCCACGTGGCCCTTCCAACTGGCTACATGCAAAGGTGTCATATTGTTAGAATCACTGACACTAGACAATGACGATTCTTGCAAAATCAGTTTTACTATGTTTGCACTTCCACTTGAACATGCATTATACAAGGGTGTCTTTCCTTGCTTATTTCTAGCATCGCAGCTGTACCCTCGTCTGATCAAAGTTCTCACCATTTCAAGGCTCTCTGTTTCTGCTGCAATGTGTAAGGGTGTGTTACCATGGGAGCCAATATCAATCTCTTCAGCCATCATCAGTCTCGTGAAGTCTTCTCTGCCCACCTGTCTGATAAACTGCTGAAGATGCGGCACGGACAGATCCATGGCAGAAAAGTGACAGTATTCTGTCATCATGTAATGGATCATGTCATAGTGTCCATGGCTGACTGCTTCGTGGAAAGGTGTTCTTCCTTCATAATTCTTTGAAGTAATCACATCATCTGTGTTGTCTATTAGCTTTAACAATGGTAGATTCCCCTCCTTGCATACTATATGAAGAGGAGTATTACCACTTTTGTCAATAGCTAAAGCACTAGCTCCAGCTCCTAAGAGTTTTTCAACTACGTTCACATTCCCACCATAGCAGGCAATGTGCAGAGCAGTTTGATGAAAGCTGTTTACCATTTCAACATCAACATTGTTATCCAAAAGAATGCACAAGTTTCCTAGATTCCGTTCGCATGTTACAAGGTGAAGTGGAGTATTTCCATTTTTGTCACACAGTGACAAAACCTTGACCTTGATCTTCTTGTGAATTGCATCCATCATAGCTTTAAGACATGGTCCATGGCAAGCAATATGCACTGGTGCCTCCCCACGATTATTGAATGCAAGCAACCAGGCTCCTGCTATTATCAATAACTGTACTATCTCTTCCGATCCTTCCATACAGGCAATATGAAGAGCAGAATTTCCATCACTGTCTTTTTCAGCAAAAACAATCTCAGAATTGTAAAGTAACTGTATTTTGTTGTCCCGGCAAATGTGATGGAGGGATATCATGCTTATTCGTGGACGACACTTTGACACAACATACCAGAGGGCATATACACATGTTACTCCATAGTGCGTATTGATGATTGCAAGATCAAGTGGACTCATAGCTCTTGTGTTCTTTTCATTGAAACTAAGTCCTTTCTCAATCAGTACTTCAGCTATTTCAAAGTGACCACGAGCACATGCTGCATGGAGAGCTGTATCTCCATTGGTGTCTTTTGTCTGGATATCTATTCCTTTACCAATCAAGTAATTCACCAGTTCAATATTTCCTACTTTGCAGACAACATGAAGCATTGATTCCCCTAGTCCAGTTGTCTTTGATAAATCAAATCCTAACTTTAAACCTTTCTCTAACGTGTCTATTTCACAGTCCTCCATTTCACATAACATTTGCAATGCGTTCCTTCCAAATTCATCTTGCAGTTTGATGTCCAGCCCTGTATCCGATAGTACAGGTAAAAGTTTAATGTGGTTTGCGCGGATGACACTTGCGACAAGAGAAGTTATGGGAAGGAATGACATAGAACCGCCTGGAATGAAATCGATCAACCTCTTCACTATCTCAGCATGTCCTCTTGCACATGCCCCTTCAAGCAATGACATGACATTTTCCATTTTATGAAGGAACAATCTTGTTTTATCTAATAACATGTTAACAATGGCAAGGTGGCCCCACAGAACTGCATGGTGTAATGGAAGCTTTCCCTTGTCATTTTCCCGTATTGGGTCAGCTCCACAAGAAAGCAACAACTTCACAACATTCACATGACCCCCAACAGATGCTCGGTGTAAAGGAGTATTGCCCCGAAATCCTGCAACGTTGACACAAGCACCATTCTCCAGCAAGAGTGCAACACAGTCAATATGCCCGGCTTCACAAGCATAGATTAGCGGTGTGTATCGTTTCCCAGAAAATGGTTCAATGTCCGCTGATGACTTCATCAAAGCATCAGCAATATCTCTGTGTCCGTCTCTACATGCGAGATGCAGTGGAACGAGTAAATGTTTATCAGACACTTTTACATTGACTTCACTTTTAATCAAGACTTCAACTATTTTCAAATGGCCCTCAGCACATGCAATATGTAGTGGGGTCTGCTTGTCCCTGTCAATCACATTTACATCAGCTTGGTGAGCTAAAGAATGTTCATACTTTCTGCATTTCCATTCTCTGCGGACTTATGAAGTGCATATTCGTGATTCTTGTTGCAAACCACCACACTTGCTCCTCTGCTACAAAGTACATCAACACTTTTCAAACAGCCTTTCATGCATGCCATATGCAGAATGGTATTTCCGTCAGAATCCATCCCATTTATGTCCCATGTCACTGAACAAAGAACACTGAATAATGTTTTTAGTTTCATTGCATGATAGAGAGGAATGTGTGTCCGTTTTTATCAGTCATGAATACAGAAGCCTTGTACTGAAGCAGTAATTTAACAACTTCTGCACGTTTATTTCTACATGCAACATGAAGGGGTGTTTCGTCATCATTGTTAAGAAGATGAAGAACATCACCAGCATACCTACGATTACAAAAGTGTTCCTGTGCTTGATCAGGATATCCATTGTCTGTTTCCACCCAAATATAATGAAGAAACAGCTGAAGTAATTTCTCTTGTCCAGACTGACACACAGAGTGCAGAACTGTATTTCCATTGAAATCCTTTGTTGTTATGTCTGCACCTAAGCTTAACAACAGTTTGGCAACATTGACATATCTGTAACGACATGCAACAAACAAAGGTGTATTTCTGAAATCCTTTGTTGTTATGTCTGCACCTAAAACGCTTAACAACAGTTTGGCAACATTGACATATCCGTAACGACATGCAACAAACAAAGGTGTTTCCGATCGTTTGTTGGTTAGTGACACACCAATGTTTTTGGCAATGACCTTTACTAAACTACATTCTCCTACTTCACATGCTAAGTGCAGTGAAGTGTTGTCATCATCATCACGTGCATTGACATCCACACCACGGCTAAGTAGCAGCTCGGCAAGAACAACATTTTTCACTTTGAGTGCTTTGGTGAAACATACTCCAGAGTGATTAGATCCACATCTTAGCAGGACATTACAGACTTCTACCAATCCATAATGACATGCTTTCTGAACTAATGTGTCACTGGTATCATGAACATGCGGGATGCAGTGCAGCATTTGAAAAACTGCAATTTGACGCTTCTCTATAGCTTCTGACATGAGACTCAAGAGAAGATCATTAGAGAACACTGGCGTGGCGTATTCTGTGAGCAACCAAACGCCATACGCATCACCCTTCACAACAGCTTTCTCCAGTAAAGACTGACATATCTTGCCTGGGAAAAATTTCTGATCAGATCTATCACAAACATTTTTTTCTATATCTTGACGTTCAGAAGTAAAGACCCAATCAATCAATGATCTGTGAAAACAGACGGACAAAGATGTTACATGTTTAGGTAACACTTCTTTCAGCAACAAAGAGACAACTTCTCTTTCTTCTTTGGCAAACCAACCTGCCGATGTGTTCAAATTACCTAAAAGTCTGACAACAGGTGTGTCACCGGCACCATCAACAGCAGATACATCAGCCCCTTTCTCTATCAACAGTTTGATAATATCAATATGACCATTCCTCACGGGCCAATGACTTGAGAGGTGTGTAACCACAACCACCATCAGATACATCAGCCCCTTTCTCTATCAACAGTTTGACTATATCAATATGACCATTCTCACAGGCCCATGACAGAGGTGTGAAATCATCATCCGCACCAGCAGTAGATACATCAGCCCTGTCTCTATCAACAGTTTGACAATATCAATATGATCATTCTCACAGGCCCATGACAGAGGTGTGTGACCATAACCACCATTTGATACATCAGCCCCTTTCTCTATCAACAGTTTGACTATATCAATATGACCATTCCTACAGGCCCATGACAGAGGTGTGTAACCAAAACTACCAACAGCAGATACATCAGCCCCTTTCTCTATCAACAGTTTGACTATATCAATATGACCATTCCTACAGGCCCATGACAGAGGTGTGTAACCAAAACTACCAACAGCAGATACATCAGCCCCTTTCTCTATCAACAGTTTGACTATATCAATATGACCATTCTTACAGGCACATGACAGGGTGTGTCACCTTCAACCATCACCAGATACATCAGCCTTTCTCTATCAACAGTTTGACTCATATCAATATGGCCATTCTCACAGGCACATGACAGAGGTGTGTAAACATTACCATCACCAGATACATCAGCCCCTTTCTCTATCAACAGTTTGACTATATCAATATGACCTGTTCCTACAGGCACATGACAGAAGTGTGTAACCATTACCATCACCAGCAGATACATGAGCCCTTTTTCTCTATCAACAGTTTGATCATATCAATATGACCATTCTCACAGGCCCATGACAGAGGTGTGAAACTTCACCCAACCACCACCAGCAGATACATCAGCCCTTTCTCTATCAACAGTTTGACTATATCAATATGACCATTCTCAAAGGCACATGACAGAGGTGTGTCACCTCTCACCATCAGCAGCAGATACATCAGCCCCTTTCTATCATCAACAGTTTGACAATATCAATATTACCATTCTTACAGGCCCATGACAGAGGTGTGAAACCATAATCAATCACCACCAGATACATCAGCCCCTTTCTCTATCAACAGTTTGACAATTTCAATATGACCATTCTTACAGGCACATGACAGAGGTGTGTGAAACCATCATCATCAGCAGCAGATACATCAGCCCCTTTCTCTATCAACAGATTTGACAATACCAATATGACCATTCCTAAAGGCACATGACAGAGGTGTGTAACCATAACCATCACCAGATACATCAGCCGCTTCTCTATCAACAGTTTGACTATATCAATATGACGACTCCTACGGGCACATGACAGAGGTGTGGCTCACCTTTACCATCAGCGGCAGATACATACAGCAACCCTTTCTCTATCAACAGTTTGACAATATCAATATGACCATTCTTACAAGCCCATGACAGAGGTGTGAAACCTTCATCACCATCAGCAGCAGATACATCAGCTCCTTTCTCTATCAACAGTTTGACAATATCAATATGAGCATTCTCACAGGCACATGACGGAGGTGTGAAACCTTCAACATCAGCAGCAGATACATCAGCCCTTTCTCTATCAACAGCTTGACAATATCAATATGACCTTTTCCACAGGCCCATGACAGAGGTGTGAAACCTTCATCATCATCAGCAGCTTAGATACATCCAGCCCTTTCTCTATCAACAGCTTGACAATATCAATATGACCATTCTTACAGGCACATGACAGAGGTGTGAAACCATAATCAGCAGCAGCAGATACATCATCTCCTTTCTCTATCAACAGCTTGACAATATCAATATGACCATTCCTACAGGCCCATGACAGAGGTGTGTAACCACAACCACCAGCAGCAGATACATCAGCCCCTTTCTCTATCAACAGTTTGACTATATCAATATGACCATTCTTACAGGCACATGACAGAAGTGTGTCACCATAACGACCATCAGCAGATACATCAGCCCCTTTCTCTATCAACAGTTTAACACCACCAGTATGTCTTTCTCTCACAGCTATTCCAAGGGGTGTGGTTTTACCAGCTGAAACGGACCTGCCAGCGCCGTGTTGTAAAAGTGTCCTCACAATCTCTGAGTGTCCATTCTGACATGCTACATGCAAGGGGAGTTTGGGAGCCATCAACTGGCAATGGATATGCTATTCTATCCAGCAATAGCTGTAAAACATTGGAATAACCTTTACTACATACAACATGTAATGGTGAACAGTTGTCAAAGTTTAGTATGGTGAGATCTGCATTTCTTTTAAGTAGAATATCAACAACATCTATTCTTCCCTCTTGGCAGGCTAGATGAACAGGTGTGTTTCCATCTTTATTCCTGGGAGAGATCTTACACATTTTTGCTAGTATCAAAACACTCCTTTTATGGCCGGCTTCACAAGCTAAGTGGAGGGAGTGTTAAAGTTGCAGTCGACCAGATTGACATCAGCCTTGCTTTCCATCAGACACTTTAATACTTCTGTATGTCCTCCGTGTGCTGCTACAGCAGCTGGTGTTGATCTGGCGGCAACGTGTCCTGCCTCATCCAGCTGGGGCTCCAGCTGGGCATTTATCACATCCATACTGAAGCAGCAGCTGAACGATGTCTGCATGTCCGTAATAGGGAGGCGAGATGTAGGGGGAAGAGATGATGAGTTTGGAGACATTCCAGTTTGCCCCTTACAAATGTCAATGCCATAGACTACTTGTAAGCTGGGTGACAAGGATAGAATTACATCCAGTTCCATATCTTCTAGAAGTAGATGCAGTATTTCTGAATTGCCACTCACACAACACGGTATGACACACTCTTTCCTCTCCTCTTCAGTCATGTGGCAGAAAGCACTTTGTATAATTCAGCATTTCTTCCAAAACATATCCAGTTCAGGAAGGTACCACCATGAGTTTTATCACACGTTTTAAAAGTTCTCTTACATTTCTGTGTACTGAGGTACCCATTCCAATGGATCGTACTAATGTTGAAGCAAAAGTATGCTTTCCACAAGCTTGATGAGTCAAAGTAAAAGCAAAGTTGTGTTTTTCTATCTCTGTTGCAAAGTGTAATGCCAAATCCTTCTGTCTGCTCTTATCCAAGTAAATGGTAAATCCTGGGTCATTCTTCAAAGACGCCCAGAGCACCTTCACGTGTCTGTATATAAACAAAGGATCTAGTTCACAGATATATTCAACAGCTGCAGCCTTGATGATTGCTTCTACATGAGATTGTGTATCTTTATACCTGAACTGTACTACTGTATCCTGTGATGTGAGTAATGACCCAGTCAGGCCATGTAAGCACTGGCTAAACTGATCTTTACTCATTTCGTCAATTCTGGTCAACTGACAGGACCACCTCATGTGCCCCCTGTAGAGGGCACTCTACTGCTGCATCATCCAGGTTTGACATCATCAATTGTCCTTTCTCCAAACAAAGTAGCGTCAGAGCTGTAAAGTTTGGCTTCTGGCTTTCAAATAAAGCCTCACACTGTGACCGTGTTGAAACATGATCTGCAATAGACGATGGTTAAAAAAACGTGAATCATATTACCGCGACAATACATCAATATTGGGGTAATTTAGTTTTAGGACCGAGCAGGAAATAGATTTTCATATCCTGTTTGAAAATAGGTAGTCACAAACTACAAACTGAGGGCTCTAAAGAAATGTAAAAAATTGAATTCATAGAAGCTACTGGTATTTGTAATTTCTTTTCAACAGACATATATTTTTATCTTATTAAGGCAACCTTTTGAGATCATGTCAGTGTTGGTAGATCATGAACAATCTCGTGAAAATACTATCCCAGTTCTTCCCTACCACTAAACATGATGAATAATGATGGAGGATATCGTATTCGGGTTATTGTCAGAACAAGTTTCCTCAGACCAATCAAGAGCGTTGCTTACCAGATCTGTAAAGTGACATTTGGAATGTATTTCTAATCATAGATCTACAAAAGGTTACCACTGATTCTGTCAAAATTCAATTGACACAACATATTCTTTCCATAGTCCCAGAAAAATTCGTAAAGTACTTATTAGACATTAGAGAATCTTCTTTCGTCCAGGTTTTACTTTGAAACGAGACATTTGTCAAGTACTTTTCAAAGTATAGTCTGGAATGAAAGTTGCTGTTTGTAACAAGATCCATAATGCTTACATGTGAAAGCTGCTTTCTGATTGACTAGAGTTGACCTTTTTTCTGAGGGAAGGGTTACTTATGACAAAGTATGTTTTAAAAACCCCATTTTATACAGGAACAAGCCAGTACATTCCCAGTTTGGTACCAGAATGAGGTAATAAGGGGATTTATCTGGAACAAATGGTATCAGAACATGTTCAGTTGGGATGGCAATCAAGTTGCACTGAGGTTGGTCATGAACTTTGTTAAAAGTGAAGTTAGTCACTTATCGTTATGAGAAGTATTTATATGAAACTCAAGGACTATAGTATAGTGTATCCAGTCTTGACTGTCCTCTGAAATTTGTTCTGAATGGATCACTAAAACTCAGTGTTGACTGCCAGATTGTTCAGTGGTCAGTGGTAAGCATTTCCTGCCCTACACTGTAGCACCCACCATGTCACTCTTTAAATTCAAACAATCAAACTTATGTCTGATTGAAAAGAATCTTTATTCAGTGTTCTAAAAATTCTTTACTAAAAGAGGCTTACCAAGGTGTTTTCAAGACCACAGTTCCATCGGCCTAGGTGATCCTGTGCAAGAATCTTTTGCAGCTTCAATCTTCATATCTTCCTCGTTTGTCTGAGATCCATTACATTTCACATGGGATGCTACTTCTAACACTGAAGTTTCTGTCTCTAGTTGTCTCTACATGGCCAAGGGCGGTGGCATCTGAATGAACATGATCTAGTTCAGCCATGGAAGAACCTGTACTCTCCTCCTTGGATAATAGAGTTTTCGCTGAAACGTTTACATTTTCAGTTTCATTCATTTCACAATCCATAGGTGTCGGCCTACAGCCCTGACACATCAGGTGTCAGTTCACTGCCTGCAACACCAGGTGTCAGATTACTGTTTGACACATCAGGTCTTGATTCACTGCCAGATACATCAGTTACTTGGATCTCTCTTCCTTGGCAAATTCCATTGACATCACAGTTTCTGCTTGCTCATCAACAGCCAGCACCACAGCGGACATCAGCCTCTGTTTCACATACTGTCGATGCACGCGGCCATACATGGCAGTTCCTCATCAAGCATGGGAGACTCTTGCAGCAAGGGCTTCTGCAGCCTGAAACAAGAGTCATCAAGAGATGACACATCACCCGATCTGGTGAAGTTAATAATAATGAACCCTCTCTGCTGCATTTTACATCTAAATCAGTAAAAAATGATAATAGGACATTTATGTAGCGCCTTACCACGTCACTGGGATATGCTCAAAGCTTCCTGAGCTCAAGTAAAAATATATACAGATGGCAGGTACAGATGATTAGAAGTCACTTGTAGCGGGAGAAATAGATGAGTCTTTAGTCGTGTTTGAATCTACTTGGGGAAGGGGAGATGATTTTAACTCGATAGGAGAGAGTTCAGAAGAGAAGCCGCTGCTTATGAAAAGGTTCTTGAGCCAAATGATTTGAGATTGTAGCTCAGGACAGCAAGTAACAGTTGTTGTGATGAGGCGCAGAGTTCTTTCTGGAAGTAATGTGTCAGAAGGTCTTGAAGGTAGGAAGGTCCTGAGTTGTAGAAAGACTGATAGGTGAGGCAGAGAATGAGGCAGAGAAGTTACTAAAGGAGTTTGGCTGCTTCTGCCCCACATTTAGCGGTCTGTAATTAGATAGTTCCAAGTTTTGGTACACAATTAACAATGTTCAGTATTTGCAAAACCCAAAGCATCCAAAGACACCTGTTCACCACAAGACCGATCAGTGAATTTAAAAATTTCATCTTGAAATATTCAAAGTATTAGGAGTTCTGCTCTACTCTTATTTACAATACAAATACCTTTTTGTCATAGTGAAAACATAAATGTTATAGAATACAAAATATCCCAAATCATCAAAAGGAAGCAGGTTCACCGCAACTCATTATAATAAGTGTCATCATGAATTTACTCTGCAGTTTGGAAGTTCTACTCGAAAACAGGGGACGGGCAGATGGATGGAAGCACATGTTGATCTCTTTATCCAGCAATATGGCTTTGCA